TTATCTCAGATTTCAAACTTGCAGTCTGAAAGAGCAGTAGAGGCAGATTCACTTGGAATATTTAAGAAGTGGTTGGATTACGCTTATGAAGTATTGTGGATCAAGAGCTGGAAAGTGTGATTAGATTGTATAGTAACTAAATATCAACATTAAACACAACACATTACGGAAGGTCAGAGAGAGTCAGACTGAGATCAGGTCCTGATTCTATCCTCTTGTGACAATAATCTGACATAACACCCTATGCACATGCTCAATAGCTGTCAGTATTGGTGCCCTATTAAATACCAGTATTGTTTTCCCTTTAAATCCCAGAGTAACTGCTCCTTTAATTCCCAAGGCTTTTGCCCCTTTAAATCCCAGGGATCTGCCCCTTTTAGAGAGAACAGCTGATGGTTCTATTAATGACGATCTATCAGGCCACTCCACAGCCAATCGGAGCCGAGGAGGTGATTTGTCGCGGGCGCCGTAAACCCCACCTATCACCACATGATTGGTTAGAACGCAAGCCCCGACCTGGCTGTCCCCTCACGTCATTGGCTAAACGGCGCCATCAGGCGTTACGGATGGCCAAATTGTCCAATAGATGTGCAGAGTGTGGGGGAGACGCGAGCTCTGGTTGGTCAAACCCTGCCGTCACTCACCAGCCGCGGGGCGGGGCCTGGGCGTTCCCTTAGCAACCGGAGAGTGTCGGGTGCTGTGCGAAGAAGCGGCCTCGCGGTGAGTGATGCTTTGAGATTCCCCTCGGAGGCTCGGTCAGCCGGTAGGAGCGAGGCAACCAATCTGGGGTAAGGAGAGAGGGGGTAACTAGCCCTGGGGATAAGGGGAGGGGAGGAGGGTACCTGGCCCCGGGGGTAAGGGGCGGGAGAAGAAGAAGAGGGGTAACTGAGCAGGCCCAGTGGGGAGTGGGGAACTGACAGGGAGGTAGGGAGGAGGACTAGTGGTGTTAGGGGAAGTGAACGGGTAGGATGACGGTAGGGAGTTACAGGGGCAGTTGCCTGGGGCTTAATTAGATCATGGTTTGGCAGCCTCCTGCTTGCGAAAGGTGGCCCTGAGAAACCATCCACCCCGGGGTCAGAGGTTACACCCACTGCAGTACTGAGGGGGTGTGCAGCACTGCCAGAGGGGCTGCCTCCTGGATCAGACCCTTTTTTAAAAAAATAACCCTTGTACTTCAGGGTTGAGTGCAAGAGGTTTTGTTAATCCACGATCCAATCTGGTTGTGCAGCCTTCAAAAGGCAACTTGATGCACACCTCTAACAGTGGTGGTGTGGGGAGAGAGAAGAGGCCGGCTTGAGCTACTATATAAATGAAAGTGGGGGTTAGTTAGCCCAAACAAAAAAACAACTTAGCAGATTGACTGCAGTGGTGTCAGCAGGTCATCAGCCTGATAACCACAACCTAATTCTGAGATAGTGTTGACTGCAGGGTACCACACATTCTTATGTTTTATAAGGTAAGAGCCCATGGTGTTGGAGGTAGTAAGTTAACATAAATCGACAGTTGCTTAACTAATAAAAAAACAGAATTGGGATAAGGGGGTATTTTCTGGTGGGCACCGGTAATTCATGGAGTGCTATAAAGATCCATGTTGGGGCCATGATTATTTACAATATATTAATGACTTGGATGAAGAAAGTGAATCCACTGTTACCAAGTTTGCAGGTGATACAAAAATAGGTCAAAAGGCAAATATGACACTGCCTGGGGAGGGATATAGGCAGGTTAAGCGACTGGGCAAAACTTGATAGACGGAATATGTATGTGAGAAATGTGAGGTGATCTGCTTTGGCAGAGAAAATAGAGGAGCTGAATATTATTAGGCTGTAGAAAGCTATAGAGCTGAGGATTTGTGAGACCTTGTGCATGAATCACAAAAAGCTAGTATCCAAGTTTGATGGGTATTGGAAAGACAAATGGAATATTGGCCTTTTTATTCAAAGAGAATGGAATTTAAAAGTAGAGCGGTTTTGCTAAAACTATACAAAGATCACAATTGGAATACTGTGAATGGTTTTTAACCCTTTATGTGAGAAAAGATATCCTGGCATTAGAGGCAGTCCAGAGAAGGTCCACTGGGATGACACTGAAGAGTTGAGGATAATCCTCATCAGCCATGATCTGTGCCTGATGGAGTATGCTCTGAGCTGAATGGCTTATTTCTGCTCCTGCTTATTAAACCTAATAAATAATATTCACTTTTTCTGAGCAGCACTTGAAAGAAAATATGTCTATACCTCTAAAAGTGATGAATGCTGGTTCCATGCACCAGTGAACCTAAGAGAACAAAGTTAAGCTTTCTTTCTTTTCTTACATAACTTCTTTGTTATTGTCAGATGCAGGCTTTTATTTTTCAATGTTTGTAGCTGGTGTAAACTGCATAATAACATATTAACACTTCAATTAATAGGCTGTACCCCAGTTACCAGTCTGATTGTATAGTACAGCTGTTGACTGTAGACAGTTTGTCTTGTGAATTTCAATACACAGTTTCACTGCCAGCTCTGTGCTTTCCCTTATTTGTCAAAGAAGCTGTGTAATTTACAAAACAGAAAATGCTGACAAAAATGTAGCAGGTTTGATAGCACCTGTAAAGAGAGAAAAAATTAATATTGAGTCCAATATGATCCTTCTTCAGAACTGAAGAGTCATGTTAGCATAAAAACTACAACTTATTTTTCTGTATTTTTGACTTTGGTCTAAAATGAAAAAGAACTATTTTTAAACCAAGGACTATGGAAAGAATTGCCATACTTTTGAAAACAAGTTGCTGGTACTCGGTATGTTTACAGTATTGCTTTGCAAGCAGTTAGGGAGATGTGATAAAACACCAGAGTATGTACAGAGTGAGATCTGCGAGCAACAGGGCACTGATTGGTTAGTGCACTTGTGATCAGTTGTGAATGCCAATGGTCATCAGCCTGATATCCACAACCTAATTCTGAGACAGCTGAGCAGTTTGTAAATGTGCGTGTGTGAATGGCGCAGTGATAGTGACCGTACCTCTGAATGGGGATACCTGAATTCAAGTCCCACCTGCTTTTAGAGGTGTGTAATGACATCTTTGAACAGATTGATCAAATTTCTGTAGTGGTAAAAGGTTTTGCAGACTAGAAGAAGCAGGGTCTGTCTCTATCTCTCTGCAGCAAAATAATAAGCTGTTGACTCTGACCAGTGACTGTGAAACTGAACAGTTGATGAGTAAATCCCCTGGATCTTTTGAAAAAGAACTGAGAATCTGAAATGAAGAATATTTGGAGAACGGAAGGTTTTGGTAATAAAAAAAGAACTGCTTTCCTACTGAGGACTGGTCCTAATGGACTGTGTTTCCCTAGCATTTTTTTTTGCCTTCTCTCCTAAAACATGAATTTTGTCTTTGTGTATTTAAAACATGAGTTAGTTTCATTTGTACAGTTATATGTTGGTGGTTCATAACTGTTTACTTATGGTTAGAATTTAATTACTTGTAATACAAGATTCTGGTCAGTTTTCTGGTTGCCTGATTCCATCAGACTGGTAAATCTGGGCTTTAAATACTTTGATTAAATCATTAACTTTTGCCACAAATCTGGCAGTAGTGGGGTTCAAGAAATGGTGCACTTTTCTAAGTGGGTTGTAGCAATAAATTCATGTTAACTTTGGTTCTCTCTCCTCAAACTATGCCAGACCAGAGATTTTGCCTGAACTGTTTTTATTTCAGTTTTTCAGTGTCCATAGTAGTTTGCTTTAATTTGATCTCTAATTGATCAATTTGGTCAGAGTCCAAATAGAAATGTGATGTCTTGCATTTGCCCAGTACTATGCATGACCCTTGGACAAACTCCAAAGTGCTTTATAGCCAACAGAGGACTTTGCTGAAGTGGAGTCATTGTTATAATTTAGGAAACATTGAAACCAATGCGCGTGTGGTTTGTTTTATTGTGAGGCTAATTAGGTGATGAATACTGGCCAGCTGGGAAAAGCTCTGTCCTGCTTTTCTTTGAAATAGTGCCACCCGATCTCCTGCATCTAGAGCAGGCAGATGTGAGCCTCTGTTTAATGTCTCATCCAAAATGTACAATGAAAGAAACTGCTGAAAGAAAGCATCAGCCTAAAATTTGACACCAACCCAAAGGGCTTTTTTCATCTGTGGCTTCTGGTTACAATCCTGATTGTTAACAGTGAAGTGGTTTATGTCAGTGAAATCCAGCATGTCAGATTAATTGTGGTTTTGCAGTTGTCAGCTTTATATAAGCTCCCACAAAGATGTAGCATGTTCTGGATTTTCACACTTTTTCAAGATAATTTTGGAAAGAAACGATATGTTAGGGTTGTTTTGAATTGAGTTTATATTGTTTGGATAACCTTGCAGTGTGGGTATCATCATTCCATATGTTTAAATGCAAAATAATTTTATTTGGAATTAAGCAACTTATCAGGCTGAGTCCAGTGTTCTGTTTTAGGGTCTTGCCTGTTCACTGACATTCTTTTGTAGCGTTTAATAGAAGAGACTAAATATTTTGTAGACAAATGTCTTGCAGTAATTTCTGAGCGTATTTTTTGTACTTCAGAGTTTCTAATATTGTAAATTACCAACCTCAATGATTTGAACTCTGTCGTGGCTGACTTCCCACATTCCATCCTTCATGACCTTAAGCTTACCCAAAACTCTGCCCGTGTCTGAATTAACGTCTTGTGCAATCACTTACCAACCCTAATGCTCATTTGATGTATGTTTGGTTCCAGGTTTAGCAAGGCATGTAATTTAAAATCTTTTCGGAGATAGCAGGAACTGCAAATGCTGGAGAATCTGAGATAACAAGGTGTAGAGCTGGATGACCACAGCAGGCCAAGCAGCATCAGAGGAGCAGGAAAGCTGACGTTTCGGGCCTAGACCCTTCTTCTGACCAAAGACCCTTGTTATCTCTATTTTTAAAATCTTCTTTTGTTTCCGATCCTTGAGGCCTCAGCCTCCTTTAAATCTGTTCCTAAATTCTTCAGATTTTTGACCTTGCCCTTATTCAGCCACCTTGAACTTAAGATCCCGAAATCTTTCCACCTCTCTGTTCTCCTTTTATAAAGTCCCATAAAATTTGATAATGGCTGCCACAAAGCATCTTGATGTTTTCCAACATGGAAGTTGCTATAGAAATGTAAGGTGGTGTTATTGGAGGCCCTTTGGAATATTTGCAGTGGATGATCAAAATCCAAACGGTGAGCAACAGGTTTGGTGTTAATGGTAACCTTGGATAAAGGCAAATGTAAAAGAGAAGTGACATGCTTTTTCATTGGAGACTATTTTGCACTAAATATGGCAGTCCCATCACTGATCTGGTAATGGAAATGCTGTGCTTAACTTTTTCAAGGAAAGACTTGCATTTATAAAGTGTCTTTGGTGATTTCAGGACACCCTAAGAGCTTTTGCACTTTGGTAATAACTGTTTATGTAGCTCCTCTCACTTTGAAATGACAGTCTAAATTCTTGTGCTTAATCACTAAACAGACTGCTTTGAAATTCTCTTCCACTTATTTAATATTATTGTAAAAGGAAATAACCTAAGCATTGCTGTTAAACAATACCAGACAAAGTAATCTCTTTGAATGTTTTTACGTTAAGCATCTCGCAGTATAGGTCAGTCCAGTCAGGGTCACCTGTGAATGAAGACCTGGAAAGAGTGCTGAGTGTTCACTGGGAATTAAGTTTTCATACATGATGAATCACTAACATCTCTTTTGGTTTACAGGTTATGCCATGGATATCGTACTGCATTACACAGACTACTACTTCTTCACACCATATGTGTACCCCAGTTCCTGGCCAGAGGGTGAAGCTGTACGCCAGATAATCAGCCTCCTAATTGTAACAAATTTGGGAGCTGCTGCTATCTACCTCCTCTTCGGAACGTTTAGCTATTATTTCATTTTTGATCACACACTGAAGAAACATCCGCAGTATTTGCCGGTACGTGCTATATTCCTGACGTCTCTGCATCTCTCAGTTCATTTAATTGGTTAGCTCTTTTAAAAACCCTATAAACAAACAATTAGTCTCCACCACCACACTACCTTTTTTTAATGCTGACAATCCTGCAAATCTTTCCTGTTTAAGTACATATTCTGGCCCTAGCAAGGCCATTTTAAAAGCAATGGAATTAAAGGCTTCTTGACATTCTTGTGAAACGTCCTATTGCGTTGACTCATCAGATGGAATATCTGTTGTGTTGTATATGCAACCACCATATTATACTCTGCATCATGTATTTCTATAATTCATGTGGAGGAAATGGTGTGAGTTCCTGAGTCAGTGCTTGATGGAAAAATAGAATCCTTGGGTGTTTTTAAAATTGTTTTGACAACACTTGCTCAGATCAGCAAATGGGATTTTATTTTAAATTTTGGAATGCTAATTTTTTTTGCTTATAAGTCACTATTTTATGTTCATGTTTCATAATTACTTATTATTTAACTTTCTATTCTTTATTTCTCTGCCCTACCTCTGCAGAACAACTTGCCTCTGGCTGCTGTCTTAGAATGAGAAGTCTCAATGACTGAGGTGTGGTTTTGACAGCCCAGTAGCTATAACCTGTAGAGAGAAACTGGCTCGGGTATACTGCACCAAATGACCTTATTATTGCTGGACTCTTAATCCAGAGACTCACATAACTTCGGGGGACCCAGGTTCGAATCCTGCCATGGCAGATGGTGGAATTTGAATTCAATAAATATCTGCAATTAAGATTTTAATGATGACCATGAATCCATTGTCGATTGTCGGAAAAACCCACCTGGTTCACTAGTGTCCTTTAGGGAAGGAAACTGCCATCCTTACTGCCCTCTGGGCAGTTAGGGATGGACAATAAATGCCGCCTGGCCAACGATGCCCTCATCCCGTGAATGAATAAAGAAAAAATTTCTGCGCTGTGGTTCTTTGTTGGAAAGGTAATTCAGATAGATGTTGTGGATATTTTTAAAGCCAGTCTTTCTTTTCCACCCCCTCCCCTTTTTATAGAATCAAGTGCAGCGGGAGATAAAATATGCTTTGAAGTCAATGCCATGGATGAGCATTCCAACAGTGGCGTTATTCTTTGCAGAGGTCAGAGGCTACAGCAAATTGTACGACAATATCGAGGATTCCCATTATGGTAAATGTTGTTAACAAAACAGGGAAATGGGAATTCCACATGGGGAAGTGGATTTTGGCCAAAATTTTACTTGATTCCCTCACACTGGGCAGCGAGCTGAACTTTGCATTGTTCTTGAAACCTGAGACCAGGTGACATGGAGGAGCAAGAGTAAGTCATTTTAACCCCTCACATCTGCTCTGTCTTTGTAGTCCATGGCTGATTTGAGAATCTGATGAACTTGTTGCTTTGGAAATATCTCGGTTGTATGGAACAAGTTGTAATCCCATTCCCTGTTCCTGCCATTGGTTCCACTTTTGTAGGTTCCTAAGTTCTAGTTTCAATTGGTTGCCTAGGATGAAGCATTCCCCCTCCAAACATTTTCAGCCGTCCTGCCGTCCTTCCGTCCCTTTGTTAATGACACTTCAAACCTACGTCGTCCCCCAAACCTTTGATCACCTGTCCTTTATCCTTGTGTCGCATAATATAAAGTTTGTACGATAACCTGCATGTGAAGGACCTTGGGATGTTTCACTATTTTAAAGGTGCCATATAAATGTAGCTATTATTTATGGAAATTCTGTCTGAGTAAAGTGGGCTAAGGAAAAAGCCACTTTTCAAATAACTGCAGGGCAGGGAAAGAGCAGTAAGTGTACTCCTTAGGTATTAACTCCTGTTTTGCCTTGTTTGTGCCACGTGGTGGGAGTTCCACAACACCCCCCCACCCTTGCACTTTTCCCCCAAAATCCTCAAGGTTATGGCTTGTGACTGTGATGCTTAGAGCCATGTGTGTATGATGAACTGGAATAGGTGGCTAATGTCTGTGATTGTATACAGAGGAAACTACCACCCTATAATTTTGTCTTCCTGTTTAATCAGGTTGGTTTGGAGTAATCTTCAGTATGGTCTCCTTTCTGTTCTTCACGGACATGTGTATCTACTGGATCCATCGGTTTCTTCACCACAGGCTCCTCTATAAGGTAAGTGTTAGAGTTACAAGGAAGTACGGCTTTCATACGCAGATTATTCAGAGATTTGAAAATGGGGTTTAGATTTTATTTGTCACGATTTGATACATGTTTCAATGAAAGGGGGCTAATCAGACATGCTAGCATTGATAACGATATCGGATAGTTAGAAGGAGACCTTGCACCCCACTGAGGCAGCTCTTCATTAGACCCACTCCGGTCTTTCCTTGTACCCTGTAAATTTCTCCTCAAATATTATTCAGTTTCCCCTTTGAAAGTTAATATTGATTGCATTACCTGAAAGGAGTGCATCAGAAATCTACGACTAACCTTATTTCCACTTAATAAATTTATTTTAAAATGCTGATGTTTCTTATCATTGCATCTAGCCCTGGTTTTGGATGCTGATGGACATCTGACATCATGAGGGCCAATCATGATTGAAGAGCATCTTGAGTAAATTTAGAATTGCTTCCTGAAGAAATCTTGTGGCATCAGTGAAATGTCCATGCCTCTGGGCCAGAAGATCCATGTTCAAGTCCCATGTTTCTTGGTGTTGTCATAATGTGGTTGATATTTAAAATCTTTTGGTTTTGTTTTTTAGAACTGTGTGCCTTTATTTTTAGTTTCAAGCGATCACTAATATGCTGATTATATGTAATTCCTCTCTTGTCTGCAGCGCTTACACAAGCCCCACCATACCTGGAAGATTGCAACCCCATTCGCAAGTCATGCTTTTCATCCTATTGATGGCTTCCTGCAGAGTATCCCATATCATATCTATCCATTCCTGTTCCCGCTGCACAAGCTGGTCTACCTGGGTCTTTACATCTTTGTCAACATCTGGACAGTGTCCATTCATGATGGGAATTACAGCGTGCCTAAGATCCTTGAGGAGGTCATCAACGGTGCAGCCCATCACACTGACCACCACCTGTACTTTGACTACAATTATGGACAATATTTTACGCTCTGGGACAGAATTGGAGGCTCCTACAAGTGTCCATCCTCCTTCGAAGGCAAAGGACCACATGACTACCTGAGAAAGTTGACAGCCGAGGGAAAGCTGTGTAGCTCTCCTTCCAATGGCCAGGCAGCCACTGAAAATGTCAGCAAAGAGGAATGAGCTACTCCCATTCCCTACTTGCCCTTGCTTTGCTCCAGTGAAGCACTGTCATCCCTGCCAAGAGCAATACTATGAATGTCATATAATCCAGGCATTGCTCAGTATTCTAATTAGCCCTATTTTATTACTACAAATAAAATCTATTGGAAATGGTGGCAGTAACAGACAACCTGTTGCCTTGTGAATGAGGGGAATTCTAATTTTACTAGCTGTTCACAGACTGGAAGTACTTTCTTTTATAAAGAATTTACAGTACAATTCTTGTTTAGGGCCTCAATCTATTAATGACCTGAAAGCTTTGTTAATGCTGTTATCTAGGGTCTGGGTGATTCTTGGTTATCATCTAGTTGTAATTATGTATGATATTATTGTAAGAATAGACTTGATTGCTAAAAGATCTCATTTTATTCTAACAATTCTGAGCAATTTTAAAACAGATCTGTGTTGTACAGCCTTTGTGAAGTAAAATCATTGCCTATCATTGTTTTTCAATCTCAAAGATTCCCGTAAAGATGATACTTCATTTCATATATACAATTGTGAACCATTATTGGAGCTTGGATTCATACCTTAAATCATCCTGTTTATTGTTCACTGCCTACTTCACATTGTCTTGTATTTCTTGGATCATTCAATGGAATATACAGTAAAATGCAAAAATGCTTTAATGAGTGGGTTACTTATTTCCATCAAATTTTATGCCTCTTAATCAGGAACAGGTCTGAGTTGTGCTGTCAGTTTATGATCCTGATCAACCTGGGTTCTGAGCCAGTGTGACCTGTAAGGATGCTGTATTTGAGTTTGAGTCTACTTAACCTGGTGCACATGGGTTTTAAAAAAAACAACTGGGCCTCAGTGTCATTTGTTTGGCATTCACACCTTGAGGAATCCAAGGTGTAGGGACAGTTCAGTCTAGACAAGCTGTACCAGTAGAGGCAGTTGGCCATAGAGGGGAAGGACACTAATGACCCCCTCCCTGACTTTCACAGGCACCTGAAATCCCACTCTCTGACCTGACATTCCCTTCCCAGCTCCCTTATTTTTTCTTAACCTTAATCCATCCCAAAAACCTTTACAAAACCAAGAGCCCGTGACCTACCCTAAGCCATTACCCATTTACCTGCCGCCCTATTCCTCACTTACCTTTTGTAAGCCATGGAATGCAGCAGCTACTGCTGAGAAAAGGGATGTGGGCTCAGCATCCGTTCTCACTGCTGCTGCCTGCTTGGGTTCTTGGACTGGATAGTCCTGCTTCAGCTGGGAAAATTGCTGGCCTAGAAGTTTGCCCAGGACATTTCTCTCAATGCTTCTGGGCAAATTCTAGGTTGTAAATAGGGATTCTGAGCAAGATTACATGATTGAAGTCTTTATGCAGAGTTTCTAACCACATCATCTATTCACGAGAAACCCAAAAGACCAGATGCATACCTGTAGATTGATTGTTTTTTTTTTTGTAACCATATGATTGGTTTTGAACTAATTCTAGGCCACAGCAACGATAACCCAAGATACTGCCAGCATCAACTTAGTTTCATACTTTTAATGTTTGAGAAAGAATGTTACGTTTTAACAGTCCAACCATTTAAGGTAATATCCGGAGAATGCCTTCATGCAAAGGATCATGGAATTCTTCAACAGTCTCCTCTGGGGATCCATTGAAAATTTCAAGGCAGAATTTGATAGATTTTGTTTTTGTATTTTTGTAATTAAGGATTGCAGAGCCAAGACAGATGGATGAAGTTAAGATGTAGCTCAGTTTTGACATAATTTATTATCAGAACGGACCAGGAGGAACTGAACAGCCACTTCCTCTTCCTATATCCCCACAACATTTTCTGGTTGCTTAAGTTTGTGAAATAATTTTATTATGTGTTTGATCATTTAGTTTCTGTCCATGATATGACCAATTAAAACAAAGATAGCAAGAACTGCAGATGTTGGAGTCAGAGTCGATTATAGTGTGGAGCTGGAGGAACACAGCAGGTCGGGCAGCATCAGAGTAGGAGAGTCGACGTTTCGAGCCTACACCCTCCTTCAGCCCTGATGAAGGGTCTAGGCCTGAAACGTCGACTCTCCTTTTCCTTTGCTGCCTGACCTGCTGTGTTCCTCCAGTGCCACACTATGTCGACAAATTTTAAAACATCCCACTTCTTACTTTTTGGGTTTACCTCCGTGCTCTTTTGCTTGCCTAACTCCTCTTTCAAGTCATGTTGTTCCATATCCAAAGGACTAATTGACCTCCTCTTCACAAAGATGCTGACTGATTGGCATCTTCTGCCTCCTTTATAGTTTTCCTTTAAGTCCAGACTTTGTTGACAACATCCTGATGGTGAAGAATTAGTGAGAACTATTTTCAAGCTGGTTAAAGGGGGCCTGATGTGGTACAGATGTAGAGACTCTACCTTTGAGGCAGGTGGCCTGGGTTCAAGTTTTGCCTGCTCTAGTGGTATGTAATAATGTCTCTGAACAGATTGAATAAATATATGGTAAACGGACCTCAAAATTTGTTAAGCTGCAGTGCCATCATCGTCCACTTGGGGGCACTTGTGAGCACAGACCACAAGTGCAGATCATAGCAAGGTCATTGTACTCATTGTGCTTGAAGATAAAGTTTAATTTGGATAAGAAACTTCATTGTATTGAAATTAGCAACGCCAGCACCCCACACATCTTGTCAGTGTAGTAATGTGGTTCTTGTGTGGTGGCAGTGTCCCTACCTCTAGGACGGAAGATCCAAGTTGAAGTCTCACTTGTTCCAGAGCGATGCCATAACACCCCTCATCAGGTTGATTATAAACATCTACATGGTAGAGTGGACTTGTGGTGCAATGGTAGTGTTCCTACTTCTGGCAGAAAGTCCAGTTTATGTCCCAGCTGTCCTGGAGATCTGTCATAACATCTTTTTGAACAGGTTGATTTAAAGATAGAAACAAGTGTACCAGTAATAATGAGAGGCAGGGAAAATTCTTGGGTATACCTGCTCTCTGTCCAGCTACCTGTACCAACTGGCTTCAGTTACAGCTTGATCCTGTTTATCAAGCGATTGCAGAATTTTTGTTCCTCTGATACTAGATATCCAGCCTCCGGAAACAATCATTCTTTGTAAAGTGCTTTCTGACACAAGGACTTCAGTAAGGTCGGGAGTGGGTCATACAGCCCCCTAGCTTTCTGGATCATTCAGTAATCTACCTCGGCTATGCTTACCTGTCCTATTTTGTCAGTGGAATCCCTCGTTGTGCAAAACTCTCTTTTGAATCTTGAATGTCACAACACTCTGAGGTAGAGAATTTGAAAGAGCCACAACACTTTGAAGAAATTCAGATGAGCCCTTATCCTGAGACACACGCTTTGTTCCACTTGTGGAAACAGTCCATCAGCATCTATCCTGCCAAAACCTCCAAACAATTTTCTACATTGTGATGAGATCACTTGTCTATCCTCTAAACGCCAGAGAATATTGGCTCATTCTACTCAATCACTTGTCATAGGAAATCTCGCCCATGCTAGCAATCAATCTAGCAAAACTTCATTAAAATCGATTGTAAACCCTTTGTAATTGTCTTAGTTCCCTTTTTACTTGTACCCACCTTTGTCCTTGGGTCCTGTAAATTGTCTTGTTAAGTATTATAATTTCAAACTGCTCCAGACTAAGAGCCCCTAGTGTAGGGCTTCCCAAAGTGGGGGGCCAGGAGCTCAAACATGGCAATAGCTACCAGAGTTCTGATGGAGTTATAACAGTTGAAGATCTCCACCATCTCAACCTCACCCCACACCTGAATCATGGTGACCCTCAGGTGAAGCCACCACCAGTCACTTCTGTCTCTAATGAGAGAGCAGCCCTATGGTCCTTTGGGATTATGGTGACTTTACCATTACCTTTCTCCTGCTTTAACAAGCCCCAACTCACCACCCTGCAGCCCACCCCTCCCCAATCCACTCTTACAGTTTCACTGAGGAGTTGCTACAGGTTTCGAGCCTTGATTATGGGGTTAGAGTGGGGAAACGTTTGGGGTGCACTGTCTTACTGTATTTCCTTTCCTGTCCCGTCTCCATCTTGTGGCGTGCTTTGGCTGTGCACGGAGGGAAGGTTAGTGTGAAGTACTTTCGGTTTGCAAAGTCTGTAGTTGTAGGTATAACTGAAAACAGGATCGGTGCACCTGAAGTCACGAGATTTTGGGAAAGCCAGAGGTTTAACTGTAATTTCTTCTATGATTAGTTTCAATGAGATCTCCCCAACCGCAACTTCAGGTCATGCGCATTAGTTGCGGAGGTATATGTCTTTCTCTACAGATACAAATGGCCACTAGAGGGGATTGTGTGGTGCAATAGTAGTGTACCTACCTTCAAGCTAGGAGGCCCATCTTAAAGTCCCATCTGCAGCAGAGGTGTAGAATAACATCTCTGAACAGGTTGATTACTAAATATCAAAATACCCACCAATGACTAGATATTCCAAATCAAAAGGAGATTGCACACCCAACTCCTGCATTCCCACATGTAGACTTGATTATTAATCATGCCCTATTAACGAAGTCAGTTTTGCTGGTCATAGTTTCCTGCATAGCTGATTCCAGAAGGGAATGTGATGGGAAAGAAAAAGCCTGGCATTTCTACAGGCTTTCACATCCACTTGACATTTTGAAACTCTTGCCATCCAATTATGTAGCCTCTGGAAAAGCAATAACTTGTAATTTGTGCACAGAAAGCTCCCACTGACCACAGTGTGATATTGACCAGCTCATCTGTTTCTCAAAAAAATATTGTTCAGCAAAAAATATTCAGAGAGTGGGCAAATCAACCATAATAACATAAGGAGCAGTTCATTTGGGTGTGACTGGAAGTTGGATGGTTCTGGGAGGAGGGCACTGCTGTTGACAATAATAGAGGATGGGTCGTTTTGGTGAGAATGAGAGTGGAATGTTTGAATATTCTTGCATGGGGTGTATGTATTGCTGACTGGCCCAGTATTTATTATTCAGCCCTACCTACCCTGGAGAAGGTGATGGTGCGCTGCCTTCTTGAACCACTGCAACACTTGTTCTGTAGGGGCACCCACAGTGCTATGAGGAAGAGAGTTCCAGGATTTTGATCCAGCAACACTGAAAGAATAGTGATATAGTTCCAAAGGATGATGTGTGGCTTGGGAATCTTAAAGCATCCAAAACTCTCAAAGAATGTTATCATCTTTCTGCCAGTTCACTCATGGACTTTCACATTCTATTCCTTAATGGGATGAGGGCATCACTGGCAAAGCCAGCATTTGTTGTCATCTCTAAGTGCCCTTGACCTGAGCAGCTTGCTTGGGCATGTTAGAGATCAGTTAAGAGTCAACCACATTACTGTGGGTCTGGAATCACATACAGGCCAACCAAGGTAAGGACGCCATTCCCTTCTCTAAGGACATTAGAGAGACAGACGGGTTTTTAACGACAGTGGTAATATGGTCACCATTATTTTAATTTGATTATTTGATTCATTATCTGCCATGGTGCGATCTGAACCTGTGTCACCAGGACATTAGCTGGGCCCTTTGGATTATTAGTCAAGTTACAGTACCACTATAATACCACCCCTTCATTTGATTTCACTCACATTGCTGAACTGAGGCACTTAGCTTGTCCTGTCCCACAGGCACTGGACAAAAGACTTCCCAAAAAAACAGACTAAGTTAGAGACATCCCTTAAAATTAGGGGACACTTAGTCACTGATGTTCTAAGGCACCTGGAAGAACTGCCCTGCTGTTCAAAATAGTGTTGTTGGATCAATTATGTCAACTTGAGTTTTGCATTTTTCATTTTCTCAGTTTCATATATCTAAAGCTTTTGTTGCATGAGTAATTTTGCCAAGCCCTTCTGGTGCTATTTCTAAATGCGACAATACATTTTTACACTGCTTTCTCTTCACAGATGCTGCAGCTTCTCTAGCAACTTCTGTTGTTATTTTTTACACTGTTTCCCTTACCTTTTAGCTCGTTTGAAAAGTAAAGGTTTCTACAGACACGTTTTCGATTATCGGTGAAGTGGCCTATCCCCACAACTGAGATATTTGGAGGAAAAAGTAACTGAACGTTCACCCTTCACTTCCATTGTGCGGTTTCCTGGGCCTTAAAGTGAATTGAGGAACAACAGTATGACATGACCAGCAATTTAATACTCACAGGGAAACAGAACACGGTGCTGCTCAGGAGGAAGACCAAAAGCAGGCTGCACAGATGAAGCATTGGCAACAGAAACATAGCAATTATACTGGAATATTGACTGCGGATTGTAAGTTCCATCCTGCTCTGAAACAGAAACATGTTGCAGGAAAAGTGAGTTAGCTGTTGATCAGAGATTTCTGTTCTCATTGATAGGTTCTATTTTAACCTGCCAGAAATAGCACAGGGTTAAAATCCAAATTAATGTGTAAGATGAATGTTTGGAGGAATGATCCTGAGTATAATAAAGTTTTTCTCTCAGTCTCAATTATTCTTTACAATTATAGTGATTATTTTATGGTGCTGTTAATGGATGTTGGTGTATCTATCTGTGGGTTGTAGGTTCTATGTTATTTGACTGTATTCGAGACAGAGGTTGATAGATTTTTGGATGTTGATGGAATGAAGGGAAATGGGAATAGACTGGGAATATGGAGTTGAGGGGCAAGATCAGCCATGATTGTGTTTAATAATGGAGCAGGCTTGAAGACAAAATAACCAACTCCTGTGTAGTCTGGTTTAATGATCTGTGAACTATAGAGTTGGTTATAGGAAAATAATCAAAACAGATCAATACATTCTCATCCACTGCTGCATTTTGCAATTAATTAACCGATTCAATGTATTCAAAGATTTCTTTCATTTAGTTTGTGAAGGTCTCACGAGATGGAACATAGCTGCCTCCACTCTCTTTCACTCTGGAACATCACTGTCTGTGCCTCAATTTCCTTCTTCCTCTCCTGAAGGTGCTAACTCTCACTGGGGTACGGGGTCTCTCTCCTCTCCTGAAGGTGCTGACTCTCACTGGGATAAGGGGTCTCCCTCCTGTCCTGAAGTTGCTGACTCACTTCATAGTTGTCTCTTACCCACAGCCTCATTAATAATTATTTTTCACATTTCAGCCTGCAATGATGTGTCAGAAGCTATTTGACTTTGGGAGATATTGCAAGCCAATGCTCTCCAACCCTTGACCCTGCAATCATTCCCTGTCTAGCAGCACTCACAGGGATTCAGAAAGGAACCTGGTCTGGATGAGTTCAAGGAAACTCTAGGCCCAGTAATTGACATCTCCATAGGGACCAAAATGTTCAGCCTGAAAAAAGAACTAATCTGTCAATGGACATCATTCTACATTGGACTGATGATTAGCCACAATTACTATTTGACAACTCTATCTCTGGTCTTTATACTTTTGCTGTCTTTTCCACCCTCTATAAACTGTTCATTTCAATTTCTGCTGCCCAGTTCTCTGCTTGTTCCAAGTCCTGGTCCACCATCACATCGCTCCCTTTGCTCACAGACCTATTTTGAACCTGGCAGTGCTACCACTTCAAGGTTCTCATCTTTGATTTCAAATTCCTCTATGGCCTCACCTCCTCCTTATCTGTTTAAACCTCTCCAGCCCCACAATCGTCTGAAATCTCTGTGTTCCTCCAATTCTGGCGTCTTGCGCAGCTTTTATTTTCTTTGTTTCACTATTGGCAGCCATACCCGAACTCTGAAATTCCCTCTTCACTTCCTCTTGTCAGGCACTATTTAAAGCGTACCTCTATGACTAAGGTTCTGTTTGGCTGTCACGATATTTATTTATGTCAAATGTGAGTTAAATTTTGTTTGAGAGTCAATTTTTGTTTGATAGCGTCCCTGCAGATTACCTAGGGATGGTTTACGATATCGAAGGAGCCTTGGAAATGCAGGTTGTTATTTCACTGATTAACTTTCTCTCCATAGGTGAGGAACAGTGAAATGGATCTCCTCTTGCTCCTGTCATCTCTCATATTCTGTGGTAAGTGGTTTCTTTATTGGAAAAACTGATGGAAAAATGGCCTGAATTAGGCAGAGGGTTTTGATTCACAGCTGTAATTGGGGCTGGGATTGCTGACTGTGGTTCGTTACATTCTTGGAGGTTTTGATATATGGTTCACTCACCTCTAAACACCAAACCCCCACCCAATAGTCGTCATCGGTCCATTTAGCTGCATAGAATCTTTATAAGAATGGGCTCAATGAGTTGAACAGTGGGACCAGCAGCTCAGATTGGGCTGAATTGGTGATCCATTTTCATACCTGAAAGCAGAAATGGATGTCCAGTGCACTAAAATAAAACAAAGCACCTTGGATTTTGGAAACCTGAAATAAAAACAGAAATTCAACAGGTCTGGTGGTATCTGTGGAGAGAAAGTACAGTTAACTGGTTCTGAACTTGAAACATTAACTGTTTCTTTCTCCACAGATGTTGCCAGACCTACGGAGTTTCTCTGGAAATTTCTGTTTTTGTTGAGGGTACTGTTAGGTTTTGAAGACAGAGATGAATGGGAAGGTGGGAAGACCTAGCTAAGTGTGATATGGAACCTCATAAATCCAGGAAGACCCAGTTTTAAAGGGTCAGTATTGACAAAAGGAGGCACAGAGGTAAAAGAACTTATATTTCTGTAGCAGTTTTCATGACCTGAGAACATCCCAGATGCTCTGCAACCAAAGAAATATTTTTAAGCATAGCTGATGTTGTCAAATTGGAAACACTGAAATCAATTTACACACAGCAATCTCCCACAAACAGCAATTTGATAACACAGTGTGGAGCTGGAGCAACACAGCAGGCCAGGCAGTATCAGAGGAGCAAGAAAGCTGATGTTTCGAGTCGGGACCCTTTTTCAGACTTCTTCCTCATTTCTGAAGAAGGGTCTCGACCCAAAACCCAATGCTGCCTGTCTTGCTGTGTTCTTCCAGCTCCACACTGTGTTATCTCTGACTCCAGCATTGGCAGTTCTTACTATCTCTGAGCAATTCGATAACAATCTTTTTATTGACGTCGGTTGAGGGATAAAATATTGACCATGACAATAAGAAGAGCTCCTCTACTCTTCTTTGGAATCTTCCAGGTCCACTGGGGCCTCATTTTAACAAATCATCTGAAAGACAGCACCTCCTACATTGCGGCACTCCCTCATACTGCACCGAAATGTCAGCCACAACATTTGTGTTCAAATCGTGAGTGGGACTTGAACCCACAACTTGTAGCCATACTAAGGTAACATTGTTACCCACTGTTCCATGTCCTATTCCCCTATACATTAGCCCCCTATCCTCCAGTCCTCCAGTATTTATATTTTTAAATATAAACAGACTTTGTTTCAATTGTTATTTTTGTTAGTGAAATTTACACTGTCACAACTGCCTCGAATAACAGAGTATACTTTGCCTGCTGTCTTTTTCTAAATCTCTTTCATTTAATCTCACATTGATATCTTTTCATTCAAGACCCCTCAATCACTGGAAACACTCTGGGGGCGATTAGGACCCACCATAGGGAAATTAAAGGCATTGGGATCAATGCTGATTTTAGATATGCCTGAGTTTACTCTTCATTAAAGTCAACAAACAATGTTGGACATTCCTTCCCATTCTCTGGAATTTCCACCAGTGAAATTACGTTAGAAAAAGACCCTCTGTTTCTGCCTACGCTGTTTGTTCCATTCATAACTTTAAACACCTCTACTGAGTCACCTCATATACAAGACAATAAGAAATTGGAGCAGGAATTGGCCATTCAGCCCATTGAACTTGTTCCTCCATTCAATGAGATTTTATCTTTTATCTCAATTCCACTTTCTAACTCTAACCTCATATTCCTTGGTTGCCTCAGTACCCAAAACTCTATTCATCCTAATCCTGAACATAGCCTCCACGGCTCTCTGGGGTAGAGAATTCCAAGGATCCATATTCCTTTTGACTTGAGGCATTTCTCCTCAGCTCAGTGGCTAAATGGCCTTTGCCCTACCCTCAACTAGATTCTCCAGCTAACAGGAAAGCAGTCTCTCAGCAACTCCCTATAGCAACCGCCTTGTCCCTAAGAATGTTATGGCCAGAACCTTCCATTTTTTAATACCAACTGTGAGAGCGAGTACCTCCAGGATTGAGAGATACCCATCCCCCCACCCCCACCATCTCCAGTGATGTCTTGCCCAGTTAAGTCTCTGCCTGTCTGGCCGACCAGCAGCACAAAGGACTGGGACCATTAATGGCTTTGAGCTGTAACCCTTTGACCCTCATTTATGTCTTGATTGCCTGTCCCCCCACCCCCCCAATCCCACGACCCCCTCCCACCACCTCCCCACCCCCTCACCCGCCACCCCCAAGTGCAGCTGGTGATCTACCTCATTGTAACAAGTGAGAAGATTGCCATTTTTCTCTCCTGTTGAGACAAAGTTGATTGGGCAGTTTGAGGCCCTTAAAGATGCCATTAATTAACGCTTTAAAGGCCTCAATTGGTCGGGGTCAGAAAGGTTGCCCATGAAATTACCCCCAAAATATTGGGGGGTAGGGGCAGGTAGCTTCTTGGCATCAACTCATCGCAGTAATCGCCCATCCACCACCTTTCCTGTTACTTTTAGGCAGGAAAGTCTCATCTAAATTTATATTTCAATGGCATCACCTCCTTCTTCTAAACTGCACAGACTACAAACCCATTCCACTTCTCATAGGACAGCTTTCTCTCCTAAACTCTAATGAGACAAAGATATCATGGCTTGGATGCAAGGTGTTTAAGATTTTTGCTGAGTTCCACAAATCGTATCCTTTGTACAATCTGTCCAAGTTCTGTAGAGACGCTGATAGATATGATCCCAGCTCTCTCTTTGCTGAGACTCACACTGAAAGAGCATCATTGAAATGTCCGACGCAGTTGCTTTGCTGCACAGGAGAGCATTAATTTTGATGGAAAGAGGAAGCCAGGCCTGCAGATTCACCACCTTGCCTGGCAATCATTTCCCAACCCGCAGTTTCCCTTTTTGCAGCCAGGTGACTTCAATTCGCGATAGTTTTAATACCGTGAAGCAATTTAACCCTAAATGAAGCTCAATTATTCTGGCCTGTGGTACTAAAGATGGGCTCTGCCTTGACAAGATTTCCATATCTCATACAGTATAGTAAATCGGGTAGCTTTGTGGCTTTGGCTCAGGTTTTGCAACTTGGATTCTTTTATGCAAACTTCTCTTAATCTGTGCAGGAAGGTCTGCGGGGTCTTTTTAAAATAAATATTGCTGGCAGGGACAACATCAACTCGCTTTCATTTATTAAAATAATAAATAAACACCAGCCAAGGTAAGTCATGAGTTTGACTGAATTCTTTGACAACGTAAGTTGAAGGATTGATGAGAGGGTGGCATTGGAAATGCTGTTTGATAAAGGGCAAGACCATAGACTTGTTAGAAAAGTTAAAGACAGTGATTAGTGGTTGATTTACAGACCAATGGATGTCTGCAGTCATGTTTCCAGGGAGCAGATTCGTGACCACTGCTCTTTGTCATATATTGTGCAAGTGTGTGGTTACTGAGCCTCATAGTTATCACCTCCTTGGCTGTAATTAATGCTAATGAATATATTCGTGGCTAATAACTGTTAGGGTTTGTACTCAGAAACAGATGCTAGAATTTGTGTCATACAGGCTGGAATGTATTTGCAGGGTCTAGACAGTTTACATTGGGGACAGTATATACCTGGGAGCATGTTAGAGACTGGAATCTAATCAAGAAGGTTGTGTGGTTTATACATTGAATGACAGATATGCAGCAGAGAGTGATAGTCTGGAATCTAATCACAGGATTCAGGGGTTTGTACCCAAGAGAGATTTACAGCCTTGAATCTAATTGTGGAGTTTTCATGGTTTATACATAGAATAACAGATACCCAGGAGAGATTTATGGTCTGGAATCCACTCAACTAGGTTTAAGGTGAGAGGGGAAAGATTTAAAAAGGACGTGAAGTGTAATATTTTTGTGCAGAGATTGGTGCATGTATGGAATGAGCTGCCGGGGAAGTGTGGAGGCGGGTACAATTATAACATTTAAAAGGTATCTGAATGGGTACATGATTACAGGCCAAATGCTGGCAAAAAGGACCAGCTCAGATTAGGATGTCTGGTCGGGATGGATGAGTTGGACCAAAGGGTCTGTTTCTGTGCTGTATGACTCTATGACTCAAAGGTGTCCGTGTAGTTTATGTACAGCCTAAAGAATAGCTAGTGTAACGTCACCAACAGTGGGAATCAATCCACTGCCTGTCAGCCCAGGTACTGAGGCTTCTACCCATCAATGGGTATTGGATGTTGGTTTCTGTCCTTCAGGTATCTGCTCCACGTTAGCGACTGGTATCTCTACCCCGAAATCCTTGGTTGTAGAGGAGGGAATGGAGTTACGTTTGGACTGCAAACTCGAATACCAAACTGACGTTCAACAGCACAACATCAAATTGGAATGGTTGTACAGCCCTGACAGTGATACCGAGGAGGTCTTGGTGAGTGATGTGTTCCAGAGCTCTCTGTCGATCTCAGTGGCTGCATTTTACCGACATGGTTTATAACTTGGCTTTCAATCAAATGTGGCAACAGCTGTTACCATTTAGGGCAGCGATGTTGTCATCCAGAGCTTTCAGCAACCCCTGGGAAATTTTACACAGAATCTGCAGAAACTGTGCACCAAAGCACATTCTAAATGAGCATAAATCAGTGGGTGACTGCTCTAATTATGTTCCCTCTCAAAAAGACTATACCGATGTTCATTCACTGTCACATCACAGCATTTCAGCAACACAGAGTTCACAATAGTTTCAGTAAGTTACAGACAGAGTGTTTACACTCTTTCAGATTTACTGTGAACAGCTATAACTGAATTAACAGTAAAAGTAAAGCCACTGTAGCCCCACTCTTTCATTAGAGAGACACACAGCTGGTGGTGGTTTGACGTGAGGATCACTGTACCTACGACAAGTGGAAGAGATTGTGGAGGAGATTCCTTCATGGTAACCCCAGCCAATACAGGAATCGAACCCATGCTGTTGGTATCATTCTGCATCACAAACCAGCGAACCAACTTCTGATAGTAATTAAAACCAAAAGAACTGTGGATGCTGTAAATCAGGAACAAAAACAGAAGTTGCTGGAAAAGCTCAGCAGGTCTGGCAGCATCTGTGAAGGAAAAAACAGAGTTAACATTTCGGGTCCGGTGACCCTTCCTCAGAACTGTTCCTCGATAGTAATGTGCTGGATGACCAGGCAAGACCAGAGAAGTGGGCGGTATGGTAGCTCAGTGGTTAGCACTGCTGCATCACAGTGCCAAGGACCCGGGTTCAATCCCACCCTCGGGTGACTGTCTCTGAGTGGAGTTTGCCCATTCTCCCCGTGTCTGTGTGAGTTTCCTCCGGGTGCGCTGTTTTCCTCCCACATTCCAAAGATGTTCAGATTAGGTGGATTGGCCATGCTAAATTGTCCTATACTGTACAGGTTAAGTGGATTAGCTATGGGAGTTACTGGGGTGGGTCTGGATGAGGTGCTGTTCGGGGAGTCAGTGTGGACTTGATGGGCGGAGTGGAGGGATTCTATGATCCTAAGAGTAACAAAACCACTACCATCAATCAGAGATTATGCAGTGATACAACCCATAACAGAATTCTCTGTCAGTTCATGTTGCCTCAGCCCACTATCATTGACACACTTTAGTTAGTGAACTTGATTGGCCTAACTTATTTTATCCCGTAATTGAAGCAGGTTTCTGCAGGTGAGGTTTGATTTCTCAGCCCATTTTGCAGACATCGTTCCACTTCCATAGAAACCATCCCTGACATCATTAATATAATGGGCTGTGTATTGCATTTTATCAAAGTTTCTTGTCTTGTGCTAAAATCAGGATAGAATCACAAGAGTACCAAATCTCAAAGGCTACAACAATTAATAATGGCCAACAAGAGAGTGTTGGTTGGTTAGCATATGGAATATGTTTGTTAGAGATGTTTTCACATTGAATGCACCGGAGAACAGTTAACCAAGGACTGTACAATGAACTGTGCTGTTCTCCAGCTGAGGGGAAATTGTGAAGTGACTGGTGTTGGAACCTTGTCACTAATCTGCACTTCTTTAGAGTTCAGTTTCAATTTAGTTTCAATGAGATCAATTAGTTTAATTGTAGATCCAATGAGTGATGTGCCTGGCCTGAGAGTGTTTGATGGGGACAGTGCAGAAGGAGCTTTACTCTGTATCTTACCTTGTGCCATCCCTGTCCTGGGAGAGTTTGATAAGGACAGTGTAGAGAAAGCTTTACTCTGAACAAACCCCTTACTGTACCTGGCCTGGGAGTGTTTGATGGGGACGGTGTAGAGGCAGCTTTACTCTGTATCTAACCCTGTACTGTCCCTGGCCTGGGAGTGTTTGACGGGGAGTATGTAAAGGGTGTTTTGCTCTATCTAATGCTATGCTTAATCTTTAGTTAATTTCTTTGTCGATTCCGACACAGATTTTCTTTCACTACCAAAACCTCAGTGTGATTGTGCAGGACAGTGTATTCTCCCCGAGACTGCAGTGGATGGGTGATATTGGACAAGGCAATGGCTCCATTCTCATATCTGAAGTGGAATGCAGTGACAGAGGTTCCTTCACTTGTGATATGCGGATCCCAAGGTCATCCAGCAGCATCTATAGAAGCAGAATTGATCTAACAGTATTGTGCAAAGGTAAGTCAGAACACAGCTGGAATACTGTAACAGTTTTGGGCCCCTTATCTAAGGAAAGATATACTGGCATTGGAGGCAGTCCGGAGAAGGTTCATTTGGCTGATCCTGGGCATGGAGAGATTTTCTTTTGAGGAGAGATTGGGTTGGTTGGGCTTGTACTCATTGGAGTTTAGAAAAATGAAGGGAGACTTTATTGAAATATAGAATTTTTAAAAGGCTTGACAGGGTTTTTTTATGGCTATGGACTACAAAGACAGAGCAGATGTGAGGGGTTAAAATGACTTACTCTTGCTCCTCCATGTCACCTGGTCTCAGGTTTCAAGAACAATGCAAAGTTCAGCTCGCTGCCCAGTGTGAGGGAATCAAGTAAAATTTTGGCCAAAATCCACTTCCCCATGTGGAATTCCCATTTCCCTGTTTTGTTAACAACATTTACCATAATGGGAATCCTCGATATTGTCGTACAATTTGCTGTAGCCTCTGACCTCTGCAAAGAATAACGCCACTGTTGGAATGCTCATCCATGGCATTGACTTCAAAGCATATTTTATCTCCCGCTGCACTTGATTCTATAAAAAGGGGAGGGGGTGGAAAAGAAAGACTGGCTTTAAAAATATCCACAACATCTATCTGAATTACCTTTCCAACAAAGAACCACAGCGCAGAAATTTTTTCTTTATTCATTCACGGGATGAGTGTGTCACTGGCCCGGCAACATTTATTGCCCATCCCTAATTGCCCAGAGGGCAGTTCAGAGTCAACCACATTGCTGTGGGTCTGGAATCACATGTAGGCCAGACCAGGTAAGGATGGCAGTTTCCTTCCCTAAAGGACATTAGTGAACCAGATGGGTAAGATGCAGGGATGTTGTTTACGTTGTGGGTGAATCTAGGAACAAAGGGCATAATGTCAGAGCAAGAGGTCATCCATTTAAGAGTGAGATAAAAGGATTTTTTTCTCAGAGGATGGTGAATCTGTGGTTGTACAGGTTGTGCTATTAAATACATATAAGTTTGAGATAGTTCAATTTTAAATCAGTACGGGAATTAAGGGTTAAGGAGAAAATGCAGGAAAGCGGAGTTGAGGATTATCGGATCAGCCATGATCTCATTGAATGTGGAGATAACTTGATGGGCTGAATGGCCTACATCTGCTCCAATGTCTTATGGTCTAAGAACTAAGATGATGTACTTCCATAAATTGGGAATGGTGAGAGAGTGGATTAGGGGTGGATTTGGAATTGAATGTGAAGGGATTTTGTCTGTTGGAATTGTATGTATTGATTGTGAATGGGAATGAGTCTGATCATTTGAAATTCAATCCTCTGGGAATTAATTGAAAGGGTTTACGTCATATGTGTTTTATGTAAAGTTTATCTCGATGTTGTGAGATAGTACAACGTGAGTGGGCAATTATGTAAAACCTGTCTACGTGGCCGCCTGTTCACAATAGCCTCATGAATTAAGTTAATGGATGCAAAATTAAGCAGAGCGTTCCCCATATTCTGACACACACAGCTAATGGATGGAACTTTCCATAAAGAGAGAGCAATCACTAAATCTGTATTGGTGGGACTGCTAAATATTCAGAAAATTAAATGAAAAAAAGAAAGAACCTGCACTTGTGCCACTGTTGTTTGTCCTTTATACATCCCAAAATGCTCACCAAGTGGTGGATAACTTTCAGTAGAGTCACTGATGTAATGTGGATAAAAATGGCCAACATTTAGCACACAAAATACCACAAAGAATGACGAATTTATCACAACCGATTAATCCAGTGTTAGTTGATGATTAGATCTTGGTCATGGAAATGTTGAGTTGCTTTCAGTAAGACATTGGCAGATTCAACAAAACAGTGAGGTTTAGCATCCCATCCACACCTCTGAGTGTACTACACTGATGTGTTTGTCTAGCTTCCTCATTTAAATCCAGGATCAGGGCTTGAATCAATTGACAGTTATTGGTGAGATTCTCCTGAAACACAACTGACTTGTTAACTTTGTGATATCAATGCCTCTTTGGGCAACGAGGCAGAGATTTTACATTTAAATTTATCTGAACATTTCTATTTCCTTCAGACACCAAACGTACACGGAGCTTAAGACCATCCATGTTAGTGGAAGCAGTTCCAAAGAATATAATCATATATACAACAGCAGCAGGTGTTATCATTTTCTTTGTTGCACTTATCCTTGGAAGCACATGGAAGAAATGGTCAATAAGAAGTCAAAGGTACGTATATCAAGGCGCAAGAATTTAAATGAGTTGAACTGTCATCTTCCTTTTCACACAATGAATAATCTTTAACTTTCTCCCCTATTCTCTGCATCAATAAGCAGGAGATATCCAGGAGGGCTTGAAGACTCAGAGGTAAGGCGCACTTTAATGTACAGATTTTAGTGTAAACTTTTAACAATCCAGAATATTGAATATCCACTTATTTTCTCAGTCACTGAAACATGTTAACTACAGTCAACACAGATTCAGTGATCATAGAATCCCTCCAGTGTAGAAGCAAGCCATTCAGCCCATTGAGTCCACACCAAACCCCTGAAGAGTATCCCACCCAGACCTACTCTCCTACCTAACCCCCTAAACCCTGCATTTTCTATGGCAATTCACCTAACCTGCACATCTTCGGACTGTGGGAAGGAACCAGAACACCTAGAGGAAACCCACACAGACACAGGGAGAATGTGCAAACTCCACACATACTGTCACCTGAGGGTGGAATCAAACCCAGGTCCCTAGCACTGTGAAGCAGCATTGCTAACCACTGAGCCACCTTAGTTCATCCAGGGATTCTTCACAGTTAGTGCAGCATTTACTGAAGTCTTACTTTCCCAGCATAGATACAAGGATGAATGATCAGAAGTTGCAAGAGCTGAAATAGGCCATTCAGCCCATTGAGTCTACTCCGCCATTCGATGAGATCATGGCTGATCTGATAATCCTCAAATCCACTTTCCTGCCTTTTCCTTTGATTCCCTTACCCAATGATCTGATTGAGGTTGTATATGGTAATGGGGCGGGGGGAATGGCTTGTGTCCTAGTTGACAGTTTGATCCAATTACGTGGATTAGGGAGAACCAGGACTCACAATTTTTTTGTTGTGTGAGGCCGGGCTGAAGTTAGATGTTATGGGCTGGTCCTTTTACCAGGGTACAGTGAGCCTCTAGATCAAGATGGTGGCTCATGGGTTGGCACCCATTTTCTGAATTCTTTCAAGTAGGAACTGAATCTGTGTGGCTCAGACTGATGTAACCTCTTACAAAGTACATGTATTTCAAGGAATTCATGGTGTAGGAGGGTGGAAACAGAATCTCCCAAATATTCCTCCCCAGTGCAGCTTAGGTTTTTCAATCTGGCTTCTTGCTTCTCCCAGGAAATGGCATGGCTTTTAGTGGAGAGGGATGGAGAGAGCTTTCACTCTTAATCCATTCATGATTGGCGATGTCAATGCTTATTGTCCATCAAGATGGTGGCCAGCTGCCTTCCTGAACTATATGGTGTAGTTTCACCCACATTGCTTCTTCTCTGTAGCAGTTTGATCAACAGAATGGCTGTTTCAGAGGGCAGCTGAGAGTCAACCACATTACTGTGGGTCTGGAGTCACATGGAGGCCAGATTGAGTCAGGATGGCAATATCCACTTTTAAGGTCCATTAAGTAACCAGATGGCTCTTTGCCACAATCTGGTAGCTTCACGGTCATCATTACTGCCAAATATCTATTTATTCCAAATATATTAAGTTACTTGAATTATTTGCTATGATGGGTTTTAAACTCAGTTCTCCAGTGCATTAATCTAGATTAACAGTGCAGTAATGTGACCCAACATGATATGCCTATTATGATAGGCACATTGGGGGACATGCTAAACATCATTTTTATATCTGCAGGCTTCGTTCAGCTTCTGTCCCAGGGCTAACCCTGTGAACAAACATAGAAAATAGGAGCAGGAGTAGGCCATTCAGCCCTTTGAGCCTGCTCTGCTATTCAATGTGGTCATATTGGAGCAGGAATGGGAGAGGATGTTTCTCCAACAGTGAGAGAGTCAATTTTCTAATTCTGCCACAGCTGGAATCAGCAGATCAATTGTGGGACATGGCCCAGGCAGTTACCACCCACACACTACCTTGACCCGTGCAGCATTGCAGAAACACAAGAGGGTTTTGCAGGAGTAGGGGATGGACTTAAATTAGAAAGTGAAGGTGACATGAAGATGCAGTTCCAGCTGATTAAACAAATATGTTCACTAACCATCAGGAAATAGTGCGCTACGTCACTGTGACCAACCGAAACCCAGTCCAGATCGAGAGACAAAATAAAGCCATGGAGGAAATGAAAAATAAGGACTCAAAGAACGGTGAAGAGGAAACTTATGTAACAATGGTAATATTGTTGGGAGAATGAGGTCAGGACATGACATTGCCTGCGTGACTAACTGATATCCATAATCAGTGGTGAATTAGAGAAACATAATAGGTTTTACAGCTCAAGAGGAAGTCATTTGGACCATCTTTTTCTGCATTAGTCAATGAGGAACAATTCAGTCTAATCCAATCCTCAATGTAATGGTCTATAGCTTCAAGCATTTTATGGCATCTCGTGTGCTTATCCAAGTTGTATTTTTTTTTGAGTACTATCAACCATTGGGTACACAAATTGTGTAAAGATGCTCCAGTAAGAGAAGGTGGCCAACAGACTCATCACTCTCTCAGTGATCTCAATCCCACCCACTCACCTTCCCACTGTATCCCTCAATCCCACCCACTTACCTTCCCACTGTATCCCTCAATCCCATCCATTCAACCTTCCCAACGTATCTCTCCATCCCATCCCTCAATCCCATACACTCATCTTCCTACTGTATCCCTTGATCCCACCCACTCAACCTTCCCACTTCTTCTCCCTCAAGCCCACCCACTCAACCTTCCCACTTCTTCTCCCTCAATCCCACCCATTCAACCTTCCCACTGTATCCCTCAATCGCACCCACTGACCTTCCCACTGTATCTCTCAATCTCATTCACTGACCTTCCCACTGTATCCCTCAATCCCACCCACTCAACCTTCCCACTGTATCCCTCAATCCCACCCACTGACCTTCCTACTGTATCTCTAAATCCCACTCATTCATTTTCCTACCATATCCCTCATTCTTATTTATATTCCCACCATTCCTCTCAATCCCATCTACTCATCAAATCACTCCCTCCATGCTACCATCACCTCACCAAATTCCCCAACACCTTTCTTTCTTGAGAAGTACAACTTAAGTTGAATGGTTGATTGCTTTCTGATCCGTTTGGCTAGTCTGGCAACATGTGCTTCAATTTAATTCACTTCTAAAAGATTTTTCTGCTTATTCTTCAGTCCCTCACTTTTCACTTGAGTATGTTCGGATTTGAGTCATGCGACAGAGTGAACAATTTGTCCAGTTCAGTATGGTTGGTCTTACTCACAATCTCAAACATTATATGGGAGTTTTTTTTTCCTTTCTTACCTCCAAATTCACCATCATTGGTAAAGCATAGATTCCAAACAAAAGGAGCTATTATTGTTGCTCACCTCTGTATCTTCTCACATAATAGTACACTGCCTCAGATCTGGGATTCCCAACCTAAAACCATTGGCATCTCTAGCAATTCAAAATTCATTTATTGTATATTTTTGGAGTTTGTGACCCAAGGGCACAGCCTTAGAATTAAGAGGAAGACATTTTAGAATGGCTTTAAGGAGAAACTTCTTCAGCCAGAGAATGATGAACCTATGGAATTTACTGCCACAGAAGGCTGTGGAGGTCAGGTCATTGAGTACATTTAAGACAGAGGTTGATACCCCTAACAATCAGGAACCTATCTAAGGTTATGGGGAGGAGGTGGGAGAAAAATGGGCTGAGATACTTATCAGCCATGATTGAATGGCGGAGCAGACTTGATGGGCTGGATGGCCTAATTTTTGCTCCCGTGTCTTATGGTCTTATGGGTTTGTGGAGACAGTTCCTGGGTGAACCATTTGGGAACGCTCAGAAAATTAGCCTGCTATTTGTAAATGATTGCTGCATATTTTGTACCTAACATTTTCTTGTCTCTGTTCTGTCTCCAGCGCTCAATCTTACAATCAAAGACACCCAACGATCTTCCGAAACCTATTGTAGCCAATGCTCCCATACCTGGAGAACATTCCCATGCGGTTTTGCCTTTGGATTTTCAGGTCGATCATTGGAATTTTTGAGGCTGTATTCATTATCTTGTTAACAGCAAAGACAAACACAATTCTTCCAGACTAAGTCAGATTGTTCTGGTTTGATGAAGATGGTGGATAATGGGTAATGTCACTGGGCTATTAATTCTGTGGCCCAGGATAAAATTTTTGGGGATTGGTGGATGAAGTCCCACCACAGCATCTAGTAGAATTTACATTTGGTTAATAAACTCTGGTATATAAAGCCAGTCTCAGTAATTGTGACCAGGAAATTATCATCAATTGTTGTAAAACCCCATCCAGTTCACTGATGTTCTTTAGGGAAGGAAATCTGCCATCCTTACCTTGTCTGGTCTACTTGTGATTCTAGACCTACAGCAATGTGGTTGACTCTTAACTACCCTCTGAAATGGCTGAGCATGCCACTCAGTTCAAGGCCAATTAGGGATGAGCAAAAATGCTGGCCTTGCCAGTGAGACTGACATCACATGAAAGAATAGAGAAAAACAACATGGAGTGACTCAAATTCCTTCTGCAAGACTGGTTCCTGAACTTCCAGTTGTTCTCGACAAAATGATTCCATCTGAGCGCATTAAAAAGCACAACACAACTTCTGGATCCAATTATAAAAGTGTTATATGTCAATACCTGTCAAAAAAAAATTGTATTAATAAATGCTCTATCTGGATTATGATATTAAGGAAATACCATTTCAGTGAAAAGACCTGTGTCAAACTTGTTCTGATTTTGTTTAAAATTTGGGGGACAAAGAGCAAAACGAGTCATCTTATTTCTCATAACTCAAAAGTATCTCAGAGACACTTCCTTCTTCTTCTTCTCTGCCCAATTCCCCCACTCCAACAGTGTCATGATCTCCACCAGGGTAGGGCAAGGAACCAACCCCTGAATCTACTAGAGCCAGAACAGGGGTTAAAGCTCCTGCTCTGGGTATTGACCAGATCCACAACAGCCATCTGGATGCTCATCCCAGGTGTCTGGGAAGTTACTGAGAATGTGCACAGCTCCATGCATGGTGGAGCTTCAGGCTATAATAGTGATGGTAGAGGCTCCAACTTACTTTCCTGGAATTTCTCTCACTCTTACCACTGGTATGTGGTGGAAGGATTGGCATGTTGATGGTCAACCCTTTGACCATGCTGTGAATGTGTCTTCCTTGACCATCAGGTCCTGAAGTGAGACTTGAACCCAGAGATGCTGGTTCCAGGGCAGGGTACTACACCACAAGAGCTCCGCAGTGACATCTGATCATCTGAACGCTGTTCCATTGAGATCCTGTCAACAAATCATAAGACCACAAGATGTAGGAGGTTGTGAAAGACATCATTGTACTGCAAACTTCTCCCAGAAGCTAATACTCTCTCCATCTACTGAACTGTATGAGTAGCTACAAGTTTGAATGATCTGACTGCAATTCCTGATGTAAGTCTGTAATGAATACAAATTACCATACGACCATAAGATGTAAGAGCAGAAGTGTGTCATTCATTGAGATCTAATAATCCTCAACTCCACTTCCCAGACTTTTCCCTCAAAACATTGATTTCCTTTACTGATTAAAAATATCTCTCAGCCTTGAATGTACTTAACAGCTCAGCCTTGACGTCCCTCTGCAGTAAAGAATTCCACAGATTGACTCCCTCTGTAAGAAAAATATCCTCTTTATCAACAAAGCAGTTTACTCACAAAGAGTGTGCCCATTAAACACAGTTTCACTGTGCAGTTTTGAAGCCTTATGTGTTCAGAACTTCAAAGAGGAAGTAATTACATTGGGTCACAGAAACAGAAAACTCTGGAAATGCTCAGCAGCTTTGGCATTCTGAATGGGAAGGGAAACCAAGTTAAACTTTTGAGTGGAGGGCCTTTTGTTGGAATAATGGAGTTGCACAGAAAACATTTGCATTTGTACAACATCTCTCCTCAGTCTCAGAGCATCCCAGAATGCTTTACAGGCAATGAAGTTCTTCTGAAGTGTAGTCACTTTGGTGATGCAGCTAATCTGTGCACAGCAAGATCCCATAAAGAGCAATGTGATAATGACCCAGATAATCTGTTTTTACGATGTTGCTTGATCTTAGGGCATAGGAGGAACTGCTGTGATTTTCTACAATTTAATGCCACATGATCTTCTACGCTCACTGGAGAGGATAGACACAGCCTTTATCTTAGGTCTCAATCTAAAGATGGCACTTCCAAAATTGCGGTGCTCCCTTGGGGCACTGCACTAGGAATGTTAGACTACATTTTGTTTTGAAGTCCATGGGCCCCCAGCCTGAGCCCCATAACTCCTTGGCTCAGAGGCTGAAATGTTTGGTACCACATCCACTAACATTTACCACCTCCCTGCTCCAAAGCCTGGGAGAGAGGAGCATACATAACTCTAATCATCAAGACCAGTCCTTTCAGGAGTATCCTGGACCGAGCAGCAACTCTCTCAATGGATTCTATGTGTGGCAGACCTCCAGGTGTTGGGACCCTCCTATGAGTGGATTTTAAAAAAACTGAACATTAGGAAGACACTCTGAAAGCAATTAGCCCACTCACAGTTGATAAATCACTGTATATATACACCTTAGATAGTTGAAAGAAACTGAAGAAGGGCCATAGTTGTAAAACATTGTGAATTGTGAGGTGAGAATGGAGGGTAATGAAGGGAACATTCTTGTTCACACACAGATGAACCAGATAACTGCAGACTATTCAACCTAATGTCAGTCCAAATTCGATTCTATGAAAGTAATTTTTGAGAACAAAGTAATGAGCATCTAGAAACGGATCGGTTAACTGAAAGTGGATTTATTAAAAGCAAGTCATGTTTGCCAAATTTTATAGATTTTTATGAAGTAGTGACTGATTGGCTAGGTAAAGGGATTCCAGGCTGATATTTTTCAGATGTCTTTTAATACTCTCTCTCAGGAGTCTTGTTGCAAAAATTCCAGACTCTGTTACAGGAGAAGATGTAACAGAATGGATAGAAAGTGGGCCAAAAGGAAATCAAGTGGACCAGAAAAGGGTGAAGATGGTGCACCCCATGATCCACTTGTCCTCTTGTTGTGCAGATAATTTGCAATTTGGTTTAGATTCCATGCAACTGAGTTATAGAAAAAGTGAAGAGTTTCAAGAAGGACAATAAAATACGTTCGTGAGTTGGGCAAGCAAGAGGCAAATGCAGTTTCATGTGCAAGGTAAAATATTCTGAGGAGTAACAGGGAGAAGGCAGCCAATGGAAAGATAGTGAAGTGTATGTAGAGGGATGCAAGAAGACTGAAGGTGTCAGTGCAGTAGGTAAATGTTTTCAAGGCCAACACATTATGTTTTTTTATAAATGGGATACATGCTGAAACAGTAAAGGAGGTAGTGATAAATTTGTAAAAGGGTGCAGAGTACTAAAGCTTTGATCACCTAAAGCAGGTTAGATATTGGATACATGTAGTATAAGTTCCCAGGATAAATCCAGTGCCAAGAAATTTTAGTTATGAAGAATTATCTCACAATATTGAGATATTCAATGTCTATTGACACGTAAGATCTTTTCCACAATGACAAAGATTGTTAAGAGGAGATGCAGTTGGGTCTTCTTCTTAAATTGTGAGGACTTTGACAGAATGAATGTGGAAATGGCAAAAGGGGAGTAGGAGGAGAGGAAAGAAAGGGAGTAGGGAGGTGATGAGAGAGGGTATGGAAGGAGAGGGGAGAAAGAGAGAGAGGGGATGATGAATGGGCGGGGCAAAGGTGGAGAAGAAAGGATGCAAACAGAAACTGAGATCAATCTTAGAATGTGTAAAAGAGCTAAAATCTAAGATTTAGATTAAAATAATAAACACCAATTTAAAAAAAACATTCTGAATGGAAAGGAAGTAAATAGGCAAGTCAAGTTTGAATAATTTTAATTTCAGAAAGCATTTTACAGAGTATTTGCGTTATTGCCATTCGGCCCAACTATTCTGTGCCAGTATTTAAGCTTCACTCCAGCCTCCTGTCATCCCTCTTCATGACAAATCTATCCTTCCATTCCTTTATTCCTCCTTCCCTTTAGGCGCAGCATTTATAATGTACCTGAAATGGTTAATGTCCTGTTTATTCAAAGCCCAAATAAGGGGATAAAAGTGTGCAGGAATAGCACACTGTGGCGCCCAGCAACAAGGCTTCCCCACCCCACCTCTCCAGGAAAGCGGCCCCAATTTTGCAGACCCTGCTGATTTGGAGCTGGTTCACATCTCAACCCACTCCAGTTGCGGTGCGTTCATTTGTCACGGATTCGAAGGGGTCCCGGACCCCTTTCGGCTGCTCCCCAAGCCACACAATGTGAGCTCCTTCCTGCTCCAGCCCAGAACACAGCTCGCTCAGTCCTGTCAGCTACCCAGCCGGAGCAACTTCCTCCCCTGCTCCTTCGTTTGGCCCTCCATCCCTGGCTAATTCGCAATGAAACTTCACGTTAGCCCGGCTCTTTCTCCCCTACATTCCTGCTTCCTCGGGCTCATGCTCCTGTCTAGTGGCTCGGGTAAGTTGTCATTGCATTTATTCGTTTAGGGAGAGAGAGGGGGAAAGAGACAGAGATGGAGGAGGAGAGAGAGAGAGGGTCGAGACTGAACCAGCAAGAACCTGCCAAAACGACAAGGTTAACATATTTTTCGTTCGTTTAATAGCGAAAATATAGAATAAAAGAAAAGGTATGATCCAATATTGAATGTGTGAATTAAGGACCCTAGGTTGCAATTCCTTACCAGCTTCCCATTATCTGTTTACACATTAATAATGTATTTTTGCACAGCCTGTTGTACATTAAATTTGTCAGGGCAGATTCTGTTGTTACTGATATGTATCAGATTGTGCATTGTTTAAAAAGACACCCACACATAGAGCCAGCTTTCAGATTGAAATAGAATGCTTGCTCTCTCCACGCTGGTTACTGGGTGTGTCAAAATGTCCTCCTCATCAGATATGTGTCCTCCGTGTCACACATCTTCGCAGATCTTCCTCACCACAGTGTACACACAGTACTGCAGCTCGCTGGTCTTCAAAGGAATTCCCAGCTCTCATTGTTTGTTTTGCTTTCACTAATGTTCGCTCCACAGTGGGAGAGTGTTGTGTTGATGGATTGTTTCTGTACCTCAGTGGATGGGAGGTTTTAAAAAGAACATATGCTGTCAATGGGGACCTGAACTTAAAACATGAAGACGCTAGAAACACAGACTAGGTCCACATATATACTGAAGGAGAGAGAGAAGCAGAGGGAGTAGAAAGGACAGATTAATGTCCTCGGAACTGGTTCTACAAATGTACAAATCAAAAACAGGAGTAGAGATAGTAGGAACTGCCGATGCTGGAGTCGGAGATAGCAACGTGTGGAGCTGGATGAACACAGCAGGCCAGGCAGCATCAGAGGAACAGGAAAGCTGACATTTTGGGTCTGGACCTTTCTTCAGAAATGGGGGAGAGGAAGGGGGCTCTGAAATAAATAGAGGAGGGGGCAGTGATAGAAGGTGGATAATGGAGCAGATAGGTGGGAGAGAAGAAGGACAGGTCAAGGAGGCGGGGATGATAGGGTTTTAAAGTCCAAATTGAGACCATTGGGTTGTAGGGTTCCAAGGCAGAATATGAGGTGCTGTTCCTCCAGTTTCCGGGTGGCATCTAGCTTCAAAATCTCTCCAACCCCGACCTCATCCCAAGACCAGCACCCCCTCTAACCCCCACCTTCTTGACCTGTCTGTCTTCTCTTCCACCTATCCGCTCCTCCCACCTCACTGACCAACCCCCACCCCTACTTCCTACCTACACTCACCTTTACTAGCTTCATCCCCGCCTCCTTGTCCTGTCTGTCTTCTCTCCCACCCTATCCACTCCACTATCCACCTTCTATCACCGCGGCCCTCCCCCCCTCTATTTATTTCAGAGCCCTCTTCCCCTCCCCCATTTCTGAAGAAGGGTCCTGACCCGAAACGTCAGCTTTCCTGCTCCTCTGATGCTGCCTGGCCTGCTGTGTTCCTCCAGCTCCACACCTTGTTATCTAAAAACAGGAGTAGGCCATTCAGCCCCTTGAGTGCACTTCCATTCAATAAGGATCTGATTGTGGCCTCAACTCAACTTTTCTCTCTAATTTACAACGACATCTGACTCCTTTGTTAGTTAAGTCTGTCTCTACCTTAAAAATATCTGATGACCCTCCCTCCACTGGTGGATGAGGAAGAGCCAAAGACCAGTCTGGGCAGAAGGTAAAGATGTTGTTATTGTATCAAATGGGAAGAAGGACCAGGATAAACCATTTGGTGAAGAGCCTTTACCGCATTTGTCAATCTGTAGCTTTCTCCAGTATTTTGGAGGATGGCTATTCTCCTGTGGAGGAATCACAGTTGAGTAGCTGATATACAGGCTGAAGTTTGAAAACACCATGTAGTTGGGGTAGTCAGGTATCCAAGTAAAAATGTAATACCAGAGGGGCATCATGAGTGGGAAGAAAAAGAGAAGCAGAAATACCACAGATCTAACATCCTGGCTAAACGAGAACAAAGAATGGGAAACAAAAGAAAAGGGAGATGACATTTCTAATTCTATATTTAGTCATTTGGTAGACATTTGGTTGAGTTTTGCTGAAAGAGATAACTTTTATCCAAGCTTTTCATCTTGAGCTCATCAGGACATTCACAAGAATACCAATGTAAAGGGGAATAACAATTTGTACTGTCTGAAATGAAGGTGCTGACTGGTGGGCAGTGATTGATGGAAGTGTTGGCATGGAAAATGCACCAGTTAGATGATGACTGAGTACTAACTCTGCCAGGATCAATGTTCCCTCTAAGCTGCATGACTGTAGCCACTCTGAGGGTCTGGCATGGTGATCAGCATGCCAATACCATTTCTGGCATTAAGTTATGATTCCAAAGTCACTTAGAAGTCGGTGCAAAAGAAAAGAAGATTTGCAGGAACACTGGCCAAGATCTCTATGGTTGAGTTCTGCTCTGTCCATTCAAATAATATGCTGCTTCTCTATTCTTCCTGTCAGAGTGGGCACCCTGACATTATCCAACATTAGACTCTAGCTACCAAGTTTTTTCCCAATCACATAATCTATCTGTATCACTCTTGACAACTTACTTCCCTACCTGTTTTGTATCATCAGCAAATTTGGCTATCATGTCTCTTAGCTTGGCCACAAAATTTCCACTGCAGCCCTGACAAATGTCACCTAAATCAGCCCACCTGGATTCGTAAGTTTGTTAAATTGTTCAATTTTAATGGCTAAATTTTGAAGCTATATTAATATATTGTTACAAGTAGCGTATTTTAAAGAATCCCACTTGAAAAATCTGGCTTCCTAACAACATGGACATTCAGCAGAAATGAATATTATTCAGTCTTGGGTATCAGCCCAATGGTTCTCTCATGTCTGACTCAGAACGTTCCACACCAGAAACTTGACTGTATAAGCCAGGCTGATGTTCCAGTACTGTACTGAGGGAGTGCTGTGGGTACCTGTCTTCCAGGTGAGATGTTAAATAATTCCCTTTTTCCCATTGAACTATTTTTAAGAAGAGCAAGAAGATCCTGATAAATAGTTATCCCTCAGTGAATGCCATTAAAACAGGTAATCTGGGCATGATCACTCCTATGTGGCAATTTGGTGTATACAAATGGACAGCCATGTTTCCCTTGTTTACCTGAGGGCTCTAATGGTGTAGTGGTAGTATGCCTATCTCTGGACTAGGAGGCCTGAGTTCAAGTGCCAATTTCTCTGGAGGTGTATAAGGTTGTTTAAGAAAATATCTAACAGCGACTCCATTTTAAAATTTACTTTATCGGTCATAAAGCACTTTGGGACATTTTGAGATTGTGAAAGACACAAAAAACGTGAAGATTTCTCCCAGAAATCTGACTCCATCTGGTGAACTGGATGAGTAGCTGCAACTTTGAATTGTCTGACTGCAACTCCTGATGTAATTTTGAAATGAATGCTAGTTACCATAAAACCATAAAACCATAAGTCATAGAAGCAGAAGTAGGCCATTCAGTCCATCAAGTCTGCTCTGCCATTTAATAAAATCATGGCTGATTTGATAATCCTCAACCCCCACCTCCTGCCTTTTCCCATAATCCTTGATTCCCTTGCTGATTAAAATCCTGTCTGTCTCAGCCTTGAATACATTTAATGACCCAGCCTCATTAACCCTCTGTGATGAAGAATTCCACAGGAGAAAAAATATTCCTCCTCACCTCTGTCTTAACCTCTTCACTGTGAGATTATGCCTTTTGGTCCTAGGCTCTCCAGCAAGGGGAGACAACCTCTCCATTTCAAGTCCCCTAAGAATTCTATATGCTTCAATAAGCTCTCCGCTCATTCTTCTGAATTCCATTAGGTACAAGCCTAATCCACTCAACCTCTCCTCATTGAAAAAATCCCTCCAAACCCAGAATTAACATAGAGAATCTTCTCTAGACTGCCTCCACTGCCAGAATATCTTGCCTTAGCTAAGAGGACCAAAATTGTTCACAGTGTTCTGGATGTGGTCTGACTAGTGCGTTGTATCTTTTAGCAAGGCCTCACTGTTTTTATCGTCTATTCCCTTTGAAATAAACACCAAAGCCCATTTGCCTTCCCCATAACCTGCTGAACTTAGATGCTACCTTTTGGGATTCATGCATTAGGACTCCCAAATCACTCCACACTGCAGCTTTCTCGATTTAAATAATATTCAGCTCCTCTATTCTTACCACCAAAGTACAAAACCTCACATTCTCCAATATCATTTAACATTTGTCAAGTTTTTGCCCATTCACCTAACATGTCTATGTCTCTCTGTGAACTCACCATGTCATCTTCATCACTCACCTTTCCATCTATTTTTGTGTCATCTTTAAATCTGACTGTAGTATATTCACTTTCCCTATCCAAGTCATTAATGTAGATAGTTTTAAATAACCTGTTCAGATATGTTATGACATATCTCTGGAGTTGGTGGGACTTGAATCCTTGGGCTTTCTGGGCTCCAAGGTGGGGAGACTGCCGCTCCACTCCAAAAGCCCTTAAGTGGTTAATATTGTAAATAATTGTGGTCCCAGCATTTATCTCTGTGGCACTCCATTAGTTACCTTGCTGAAAATGTCCACTTTATCCCAACTCTGTTTTCTGTTGGTTAGCCAATCCTATACCCATGCTAATATATTATCCCAATACCATGGGTTCTTGACTAGGGTTGAACAATTACCATAGTGCAAATGTCATCTTCATGAAAAGGACCTGCCAGCTCCTTCTCAGGGCATCTACAGATGGGCAATAAATGCTGACCAATCTTATTTCTTTCAAAATAAACTGTCTAATTAAAAGGTAACAACAAAAAACGGTTCTGAGGAGGGGGTCACTGCATCTGAAAGGTTAACTCTGATTTCTCTCCACAGATGCTATCAGAGCTGCTGAGCTTTTCCAGCAATTTCTGTTTTTGTTTCTGATTTATAGCATCCGCAGTTCTTTCGATTTTTAACAAAAATCCCACACTGATTGCAGTCCAT